CTTCCCCTTCCCCCTCCCTCCTCTCTCTCTCTCTCTCTCTCTCCCCCCCCCCTCTTTTCACTCCCTATATCTTGGATTTTATTACAAGGAATGGGAGAGACTTGTCCGACATTTATTGCATTTGGATACGATTAACTAGTGGATGGTAGGTATTGCGAGGAGCGACGTATATGACGCGAAATATTTTGATACATTTTGATTAACGCTCCAAACGTAGAATAATTAATTAATTAATTAATTAATCACGAAAGTACGAAGTGAATTGAAGCCGAATAATAATAGCGAACTGGCGAAATGTTTGCGAATTATTCCAAAATGTTTGAATGTATATATTTAAATGGGTAATGGTTATTTAAAGGTGTATTAAAGCGCATTGCTTCATATTACGCATTATATTATCGAAATGTTGGAATCTTAATTATAATTATTAAAATTAAAGTTAATTTTTTATTGACGAATGGTAAATATTTTCAAAATTGTTGGAGATACTAGAAAAAACTTTTCACGTTTCACGTAAAATTTGCAAAAAATATTTTATCCGCTAGTATATCGATTTATACGTCAAAAAGCCAATTTTGAAAAGATAGAACATTTTACTATTGATGATGATACTTGAAAAAGCCCAGTTTTGAAAATCTCACTGAACTCGATACGTATCTCACTAAATGTCTTTTTATATCTGTATGTTATTGAAATTTATATATTATAATTATAATTCTCTGTGAATTTTAAGCGAAATTTATAGATAAAATAAATAGAAAAAAAGAGGAAGTTCATTGCATTTACTAAAATCCGTTAGGTAAAAGATTACACTAAGAGACGTATATATAATAACAATCAACAATATCATTGTGATATATAGCAAAAGAGAAAAAAAGAAAACTGTCGAAAAATAATCTTAAGGGATGGAAATCTATAAAGGTAAAATCTATAAAGTAAAACATATAAAATAAAAAGTATAATAAACTAAGCTGAAGAAAGGTAAACGACTCATTTAATCGGTCGTGTCTATCGCGAGAAAACGAAGCTTTCTGGAAGTGAGGCCACGTCTAGCCACCCTCAATCGCCGAAGGCGGTAGTGGGCAAACCGGTTAACGTGTGAGAACTTTCCTCTCATTCGCGCGCCAGTACTCTTCCTCTTCCTCTCCCTCTCTCCTTCCCCCCCCTCTCTCTCTCTCTCTCTCTTTTAGTTCTTTTCGTTTCTTTTAGTTCTTTTTAGTTGCTTTGCGCGCTTCTCCTTGTCTCCTCTCTCGATCGATACATTTGTCAAGCGACGTATAAACGCCACTAAGTTTACGGCAATTCCACGTAATGTACGAGGAGAATCGGCCGTCAAAGTGTTTTGCCGGACTTGGGTCGTACATCCTGGATGTTGGGACGCGGTCGCTCGCCGGTCGTCGCCCTTCGGGGAAACACGAGCAGGACAACTATCCCTTACGCCATCTCGTAAATAACTATCTCGGCCGTTTAGCGGCGGAGATTTTAGTCCGCGTACGAGGCAGAATTTAGCGCCCCTCTTCGCCGCGCTCATACGCCGCGCGCGCGAGTAACTACTCATTCTTATTTACGACAGGACCAAATGAAAACCCCTCTCGGGCCGACCTGTCTCGCACCCCGACCCTCGTTATCCTCACTCTTTCACTCACGGGGCCTTCCCTTTTTTCCTCTCACCGTCACTCCAGCATCTCTCTCCTAGCACGCCGATGTCAGATTATGAGCTCTTTGTCCCATCACGCTTACGTGTGATCGATGGTCCTCGCGGGTCATGGCGAAGGGAAAGATTTCCCGGCGAAAGCGTCGTGATTTTTTTGAAAGATAGGGGTCAAGAGGAGAGATACGGAGGATATTATATCCTGCCGATTACTTTTGTCACTTTTGTATTGCACGAAAATACTTTTATTTTCGAGTATATCACTACGGGATATTTTCACCGTCACTGCCGCCTCCTCCGGCTCTTAATTTTGGCCTCACTTCCCGACTGGCACTTCTTCGGGGTTCTTTTACCTCTCGGCTCTTTAGAAGCAGCTCCTGCTCTTGCAATTTTATCTGATGGAAGCCAAGGGAAAAATCCAGGGCCAAGCTGTTGAGCTTGAGTTTAGCTTCCCGGTCGAGCGAAAATCTCCCTGGCGTTCGGTTATTTGCGCGTAAAAAAAATATTTCGAATCGAGATTTTTATTTTTATCTGACTCAACTTTTCCTTACGTTTTCTCGTGCCATCCCGACTTTAATCCACGGCGGCGGCACATCGTAAAGTAAAATCATGACGTATCGATCGCGATTGATCTCGCGCGATAAATTCAGGCGTCTTGTACCAGCGTGTCGAAGGCATCTGCTCTTTTTATTCTTTCCTTTTATTTTATGAATCCGACGATACCGACGGAGTATTTTCGCGTTCCATCTGAGGATCGCACATATATTTTCGCGGCATCTCGATTCGATAAGATACGGGAGAGAGAAATCCGGGACCGCCCGCGCCTCCGAAGAGACGCTTGATTTATTCCAGCACGGCGAAAATCTTTTATTCCTCAATTATCGTCGCGTGAAAATATTTTAATCCGTCCCACGGACTTTAATTCTCGCTCCATTTCCGCTGCTGTAATTTCCTGTGGCTCGATTTCTCTCTCTTTCTCTCTCTCTCTC